TCTCTCATTAATACACATTTTTAGGTACATGAGGCACTCTGTGTGGTTGATGACGCGTGCGAATCTGGAGTTGGTATATCATTAGAGTCATTTCATTCAATATTAGATGCTTGTCACAAGCGGTGCGAGTTTAATCTGGTCTGCGGATCTCTCTTCTCCTTTTTCTTTTATGATCATGCTTCATATCTTTCTTGAACATTTTTCTTTTCCCTTATCTATCGGTATGTGGTAGGAACCATTCTTAATGTAGAAAATAAGAACCTTGTTGAAATACATTGAAGATACTGCTACTTTAGCAGTGCACAATAGTTTTTTTAGCAGTGTGGTCAGTACATATATAATAATGTATTTTACCACTACATATATAGTAGCAATACATACAATGTATTTTAGCAGTACATATAACATACTTTAGCAGGATTTTTTAGTTTCTGTGTTAAAAATTCGTTCCTACTTGATCCATTACCTATGCTATCGAAGAACTAATGGAGTGCATTCTCAGTTAATCGCAACATTATGCATTCGAAGTTGGTTGAGAACCTACATAGGGTATATGTGTCACACCCATGTTGATTTGCATGTGCATCACAAGTTACGGATAAGTGAATTGGCAGAGACGTGAGTTTTCTGATAGAATATATACGGATATGTAAATTCTTTGTCACCAGTTTGAACTGTAATGTTTGTCTTTTATTACCCGGACTACATTGATGTCCCAAATCAAATGCGAAAATGTGTTTAAAGCTATGTGCCGTAGCTTATCATTGATTTTAATTGATATATATATAAAGCTTGAAATGGAAACGCATTTGTGCACTAGCAATCAAATGCAGTTAGAATTTTTTTTCTAATTGTATAAAGTAGAGTTCTTTGAGATGCTCAGACATTGACGTCTGAGAATAAATTTATAGGTAAACGATATTGAAACATGTTCTTTCAGTTTGATTTCTACGATTCTTAAATCAATGCCATATGGGCCAGACAATATTCATATATTAAAATTTGTGGAGATGGTTGTAGCTCTACAGCATCAATCTTTTGATGCAGAACTATAAGTTCCCGTTTTTAAAATTGGCAAATACGAAAAATTCAGGAAGGAGATATGCAATTGTTTTTTTCCTTATGCTTGAAAATTGGGATATGTTGGAGAGAGGAGTGAGAGGACCATGGAATTCGAATGTCATGTCATCTTGTGGCATTTAGTTGTGTACATGTGACACTAATTTTTGGATTATATTGATATGATCTCTTTTAATTCCCAGGTTCATCAAATAAAGTCGAGGATCTCTCAGCAGAATCTGAAACCTAATGATGAGACCATCAGGAAGATGATACTACTATATGTGAAGATGAAAGATGTAAATTTCTTAATTCATTGTATCAAGCTTAACATGTAATAGACTGTCATGGTTTCAATTTTTATTTTCGTCCGCATGCAGTTTGAAGGAGCATATGAATTGATCAACGATCTACCAAACATGGGCATTAATCCCACAGCTGGCATGTACAACACTATAATGGCTGGATATTTCCGTGAGGTTGTTTTGATTTCCTGAATGCTCAATTGTCTTGCAGGCCTTTGGTAGCATTTAAAAGTATATGCCCAATTTAGAATTGCTTAATACAACAAATATGATGTTCTAATCCAATGTTACCTGATTTGGGGCAGTAATAGAACTGAGGATCAAGCTTTGATATCCATTTATTTATCCTTATTAATGTCTAACACCTGTTCTGCTTTGCTTCTTTGCCATTTCCTATTTATCGATAGATTGTTGTCAATTTTTTTCTTGCTACTAATTTCATTGAACTAACAATTTTGTACCATTTGCCCAAATTCGCACTTGATAACAGTGACTCACAAGACACATTTATGGTTACTTATACAGTTATGAGAATTGCTATGGAGCCAACCACCAATGTTATAGTGCCACGTAGGCCATGTGAGAAAATAATTAACTCCACATGACCTACGTGGCACTATAACATTGGTGGTTGGCTCCATAAAGAAGTCAACCATTGGCTCCATAGCATTTCTAATACAGTTATATGTAACATAGGAAAAAATATATGCTGAATTCTGCTTCTAGTTGTTATGCCTTGTTGTTGACATTTTCAATTGCTGCATCCTCCAGAAAAAGGTTCAGAGTGCTATAAATGTTCTCAAAGAAATGGAAGGTGCAGATGTCAAACCTGATGCTCTGACGTACAGCTATCTTATAAATAATTGCCACTCAGAGAAAGATATCATTAAGGTACACCAGATTGATAAACAATGGTTCAAAGGTCTTGATCGGCACATATATGAAATATGATACATCATACGACTGAAGATGAATATGGCACCTAATAAGTTCTTTAAGTTTGAATTCTTATTCCATAATTTTAACTTGTTCACATATTAGTGGCTTGTTTGTGAAAAACTTAACCGTTGTTTACATGCATTTTTTCTAAATGCGTATACATTTTTATATAGAATTATTGTAACTTGAACTTTGATTATGAGGGCCTTAACGATTTGAGTGAAAGCTGAATCTTGCTGTCCCTTGGAGTGTTCAGTTTCAAGTTCTGAAAAGTGTTATCAAGCATTTGCAGATGTAGCTGATGAAAGTCTCTCCTAATTTTAATTTGCATTCAGTCCCTTTTTTACTTCCTCAAGACAAAACTGACTTAATATTCCTTCTCGAGAAAAGAAAATTTTATGCTGCTCTATGCATGATTTTGTACTTATTCAACTCAAATGGTCTGTCCTGATTGTTGCAATTTAATATTTTGTAGTTCTTTGAGGACATGAGCAACTCAGGAGTTAAACCCACGAGATGCATTTTCATGGCCCTTATAAATGCTTATGCAACCTGTGGACAGATAGAAAATGCTAAAAAGGTATGGAATTCTACTTTCCCAGTCTTTGCTTCTCCTCAGCCGAATGGAAAATTTTCTATACAGCATTGAGTTCTCCTAGAATAAAGGATTGCTCCTACGCTGCTATGATATGAAATTATTGATGTCAATTTGCAGGTGATACTGAATGAGAAAATACCAGTAAAGGACTTAATTGAAGTCAAGGCTGCTCTAATTGAAGCTCTTGCTGAAAACGGCCAGTTGTCTGATGCTATTAAGATTTACGAAGAAATCAAGGAAGCTAAGTGTGACCTGAGTCCCAAATCCATTAGATGTCTTATTGTAAGCCAAACCTTCCTGTTTGTTTATCAGCCATTATGCTTTTCTCGGATCTCATATGTATTGGCGCTTATTCTGGACAGGATCATTTTCAATCAGAAGGTGAATTGCACAAATCGCTTCAGTTGCTTAAGGAAGTAAATGGTTCACCCCATTGGGATGATGCCTGCTTTGTAGTCATATCCCATTGTGTTAGATATGAAAATTTAAGGTTTTGTTGCTTGTCGGCATGTATTCATTACTATATTTGAGTAACCCTGCTTGGTTATGATTATTTTATTTGATTCAGGTGTACCATTGATTTATTAAAGCAACTGAAGTATAAATACATGAATTCTGAGAGGGCCCAAGACGTGCTGTTTGATGAGGTATTGGCCTTATTTCCCCCATGTGTTTATGAACGACTACCCTATGAAACTTACTATCATGCTTGGTGCAAATCTTGCTATTTACTTAAAATTGCAACTATTTAGGAGAAATAAATAAATAAAAGAAAAAAATGAAAATTGAGATAAAACTGAGATATGAAGTAATCTGTTGACTTTGAATATACGAAAATTCAGTGAATGTATCATCTTGTTAGATTTGTTTCTTGTGAAGACTTGGCCTATAAAATACAACCATCATGGGTTCTAAGTTCTAACGAAACAAGTTGACAAGAAACAGAAATGACTGTATAAGGAGCTCTAATGAGCATAAATTTTTAACTGAATAATTACTTGTATTCTGCACTTTCAGATCCTGCTACTTTATGTTCCTTATCAAGTGTTGTATTGATTGTTTAGTACTCTTGCAACTTAAATTGCATTAGTCTTGCGTTTTTCTAACTCTACCACGGAGTAGGTATTTTGCTTATTTGCGGAGAAAGAATCAAAAGACATGCAGTTTGGTCTTGATCTGCTTCAAGCACTTAAAGAAGAACTTGGAGTTAAACCTTCACGAAAAAGCCTGGATTTTCTTTTGACCGCTTGCGTTAGTGCAAAGGATTCAAAGGCTTCCTTTATTATTTGGAAAGAGTACAAGGCAGCCGGTCTTCCTTACAATGTTTTATCTTATGTTAGGTAATGACTTTCTGCTGGCCTTTTTTTGTTTGTAGTTAATCTGATCTCATTCTACAGTTTGAACATATATTGCACATTTTCATTAGGTGAGAGCCATTTTTGATTTCCTTTTTTTCTGCTTATTTGACCACATTTCAATTTTATGTCGTTGAAACTTGTGCAGGATGTATCAAGCTCTTCTCGCCTCAGGTGATAATAAGTCTGCAGCAAAGGTGTTAAATAATATAAAGAAAGATGATCCCCATGTTCGGTGTGTTCTCAAGGCATGCCGAAACAAATACATAAAGCTTCCATCAGTTGAGAGAAGGCAGAAGAAAAAAAAGAAGGCACTAGTGGCAACATTGGGGTTGATGGATGCATTGGGAGCCAATACCAAGTAATTAAAAAACTATGTTAGGCAATACAGAGAAGTCCCAAGGGAATTGGGTTAATCTTTTCCTAAAAGCCTTTGTTTTTTATAGCAGTCTATTTGATGCCATTCAATATGGCAAATTTGGATAATGTAGCTTAAGGGCAATGTGAATCTGTCATGTTGAAGAACTAGCAAATTTGTGTTGATTATGTATATATGGGCGAATGCTTTTCTTGTTCATTTCAGTCTTTTGAATGTATAAATAGAACAAATCACACCCAGAATGGTATGCATGCTTGGTAATAAATTCGTGTGATGATTCCAGTTGACGACTCATTAGGAAATCCCCTTTCAGAACAATGTTACCCAACAAACGCCCCACCTAAAGATGAATTTAATTAGATACTGATGATACAAGAAATACCTGACGTTAGTCAAAGGACACGTGGCGACGATTGATGCTCTGACGTCCTCCTGAAGTCGTCTCCTTTGCTCCGACGCCTGCAAAACAGAACCCCGGGGTTGTCCCCAGGGGTAGATCCTCCGATGCCTAAGTTAGAGTTGGTTTTAGGGTTTTCAAATGGTGGCTGTAAAAATGCGTAGAGAAGAGAGAGTCCCCCTTACCTTGACCTAGGTCATCCTTTTATAGAGGTAGGATGACCTAGGTCTTCCCTATGCAGACGTAGGATTTCCCAGCCCATTGGCTTAGTGGACTATGGTCCACCAGTTGGGCCATATTTAGACATTGGGCCTAAAGTAAGACTTCTCAGGCACTGGGCCTAAGGTGAGACTCTTGGGAAATTTTCAGTTATCCTACATGATTTTTAAACTATTACAAAATTATCATTCATACATAATTAATTGTGTATATACCTAATAGACAATAATTAATTACATTACCGCCTAAAATAAGTTACATATATCCATTCCATATTTGATAGTAACAAATCCATAAAGACCCAAGATTCACGCAGCAAGCCGTTCCTTTCCGGAAAAAATCCCTCAGAAAGTTCCCAAAATTCTGTCACATTCCTCGACAAGAAGTAGAGTCGCCAGTTTTCCGGCGACGAGATGGACGTGCGTGCCGACGATCTACGATCAGTAGAAACCCCAACTCGAGTGCTTGTTGCTTCTATCGGGATTCTTCGAGCTTGCCGTGAAATTCGGATCGCCGACCAACGGATCGTCAACGGATCGACGATCGGAGGCCGCGAACCTCGTCGGATTGGATTTTCCATGGGCCCCGAGCCCGAAATCTCGGGTCAGCCGCCCAAATCCTCCATCAGGCAGGATCAATCGACGGCTCAATCTGCAGACCTAGATCCAATTGGAGCAAAAATGCAGCTTTCAGACAGGCGAAGTGCAAAAAGGACGAAAAGCTCAAACCCAACAACTTTTTCTCCATTTGATCGATCTGCTCTTCCCCCATTAGGCTCAATTTTTTTTTTTCAATTTGTATTTTCGAATGATTCCCCGAGCTCGAATACTCCGTTGTTATTATTCTTTTTACTTTTCATTTTATCTTTTCCAAATTAATAAAGCAATTAAATACTTGATCTCGAGTGTATATCTTAGGTATATTTTATGTATATATGGGTTCTAAAATCGATTTTGAGAAACGATTGAAATTTGAGTGTTTTTAAAGTATATTTTATGTATATGTGTGTCCCGATCTATCGCTGGCTTGAATTACTAGAATCTCGAGTGTATATTTTATGTATATGTGTGTTGTATAACTTTGATATATACTGTATATACGCGTAACATATACCCAAAACATGTACTGATGGTAACATATAAATCATGCAACGTGTAGATTTTCGTATCTGATGGTAATATATGAATCATGTACAGAATTTTCATACCCGAAACATGTAAGTTTTCATACTCGAAACATATAATGAAAAAATACTGTGTATACCAGCTACATATAGTATATGTTAGTATATATTCAGTATATGTTACAATGAAAAACATGTCTTTCATAAGAAAAACATGTCCCAGTGAGTATATGTTGCGTTTATGTGAGTATATATTCAGTATATGTTGCAATGAAAAACATGTCTTTCATAATTTTTTTTTTTTTTTACTTTTATACATAAAAGTATATATAAAGTTTATAAACATATTATAACAGGTTACTTATATTTTCAAAAAAAAAAAATCTTCTAATATACAAACATATGTAAAACATATACTCCATCTTCTGTTATGTATCATTTTGTTCGGGTATATTAAATGTATATGTTTTTAATATTTTTGTGGATGGAATCCCCTATGATGATTTTCATTCATTATATGATTTGTGGACTGTGTATAAACTATACATATACACAACAACAACAAAAAAATCAGTTTATTCTTGTATTATATCAAATTTTGAATATTTTGAAAACATAAATGTCTATAAATTGAATATATACTGTCTATATATACTCAACAAATACCTGAGCAAATGTAAATAATCCCGACATAAAATGTCTATAAACTGAAAATATACTGTCTATATACTCAACATACACCTGAGTAAAATGTAAAAATAATCCCGACGTAAAATGTCTATAAACTGAAAATATACTGTCTATATACTCAAATATACTGATTGGGGGTGGTTTTTTTTTTTCTTTTTTCTTAACCCTAAAAGATCCTAGTACTATTCAACAACATTCATTCAACATCCAAAAAGCATAAACAATCCACAAGTAAAACCAAAAGGAAGCAACTCTGAAGCAAAACGATCCTAGTACTCTTTCGTTTCTTAATTTTTCCATTTCCTTTTTTTTTTCGAGAATGTAAACTTCAAGATCCTATGAATCACCAAAAGGAAGCAACTCTGAAGCAAATATATGCTATACCGCCACAAAATATATAAAATAAAAAAATAAAATCGGATCGGAAAGTGGGAACGAATCAATTGGTTAAACATAGAAACAGTAAATCATCATGATATTTTATCATCATCTGCAAATCTGGAAAAAAAATCCAAAGTCAAGCCCAAGTAAATCAGAGTCTTCTTCGCCCGAAATTCTTCTTCACTACCATTAATTTCGGGTTGACTTTCATAATAGAAATCAGAGTCTTCTTCGCTCGAAATTTTGTCGGTAGATTTAGGCTTCTCCAATTTACGGGCTCGCCGAACATTTCTCGTTGGATTTGGGTCTGAATGGATATCGTCTGAACCGGGTGATGAACTAGGTTTTTGCATTGTAGACTTGCCTGAAGACATGCGATTAGGGGTTGTCTTTTTTCCGAAAATTAGCTTTTTCTGAACGAGTTTTGGTTGATTTTTTGGGTGGATTTTACGTAGCCGGGCACTTGATCTAATTGGTGGTGAGTCGTCAGCCACAGTGGTCGAATGTTTTGGATGAGGACGAGGAAGTTTAGTCTTCGCCATTGAAGCTTGAGATGTGGAGATTTTGGGACAGATTTTTGAGCGTGTTTTGCAGAGATAGGGGCGGTGCGGTGCGGGGGTTTTGGTTGGAGTAGAAATCCTTTTTTTTTTTCCTATTTTTTAGGTAAGTATATCTTTAAAATCAATTAAACATCACATTCCATTTTAATGTGCAGATAAAACGTTTCTAATGGTTATAATTTCTTGTAGGTATAATTGAAAATATTTTAGCTTCTTTTGGTAATTTTATAAATAATCTTTTAATAAGTACAAAAGTGTTAAACAAATGAATTATGTTAGTGTGGGGTGTAATTTCCTCGAGACTCTTCGGGTCCTTAGGCCTATTTTGAGGTTGGACTTCAGCTTTGACCTTGGCCAATAACGGTCTTCAGAGTACACGTGTCTTTATTCTCCCGAGCCACGCGTCGCCTAATAAATGTGTATTTTTCCCCCATATCACTTGCCCCCCATTTTATGTACGCGGTAATTTTTACGCGTACAGAAAATAAGCGGTCAGACATTTACAGGTGAATATCTGCATTTAGCGACTTTCCAGTACAGTTGCACAGACAGACAGTGAAGTTGTATGCTATAAAATGCTTCACTCTCATTTCTCTTCTCACTTTTAACTTGATATTTTCTAGAGAGAGAGATAGAGAGAGAGAGAGAGGGAGAGAGAATCAAGCATTTGGGATTGCATCAACTTTTCACGCTCGACGTCGGCCTTCGAAAGTCCTCAGACCCTGGTAATTTTTTCTTACCATGTTATTATTTCTTCATGTCTTTGGTGCTAGTTATCACTCAATGGGCTGGGAAATCCTACGTCTGCATAGGGAAGACCTAGGTCATCCTACCTCTATAAAAGGATGACCTAGGTCAAGGTAAGGGGGACTCTCTCTTCTCTACGCATTTTTACAGCCACCATCTGAAAACCCTAAAACCAACTCTAACTTAGGCATCGGAGGATCTACCCTGGGGACAACCCCGGGGTTCTGTTTTGCAGGCGTCGGAGCAAAGGAGACGACTTCAGGAGGACGTCAGAGCATCAATCGTCGCCACGTGTCCTTTGACTAACGTCAAGTATTTCTTGTATCATCAATTGGCGCCGTCTGTGGGACCCGACGACTTAGGAAGAGGATTCATGGCGATACGGAAGAAAGGTGAAACCAGTCGAGCGACGCGAGGCGTTTCACGACATGATCAACCCGAAGAAAGCCAATCAAACTCTGAGGCTAACCCTAGCCAAGGCCAAAGTTCACAAGGTCCGGCGGCCTCGGAGACAGAGGCCGAACGACTGCAGAGGGTCGAAGAAGAACTCCTTGAACTGAAGACCCTGATGAAGGGTATGATGGAAAAAGAAGCATCCCAAGGTCAAAAGAATCGAGAAACTAGCCATGGCGAAGGTTCTAAAGCCCCCAATGATGAAACCGAGGTCAGATCCAAAAGAGACCTCGAGAGAGGAAATTTCACACGTGAGGATGGCAACCTTAAGCAAAAGCTTGAGGAGATGAATGAAAGGCTCGGAGTGGTGTGGAAAGAGGTCAGAAAGCCGACGTTGGATATTTTCTCACCCACCGAGTCTCCTTTTGTTGATAGCATCATGAAAGAGGAAATCCCCTCTAGCTTCAAGATGCCTCAGATGGAGAATTACGATGGAACATCGGACCCCCGTGACCACCTTGAGAATTTTCAAGCTCTCATGATGCTTCATGGGGAGACCGACGCCATCAAGTGTCGAGCGTTCTCGGCCACGCTAAGAAAAAGTGCCAGGGTTTGGTTCTCTTCGCTACCAGCGGCCTCTATCTATACTTTCAAACAATTGGCACAAGAGTTCCTCAACCACTTTGTTAGCAGCAAACGGTACAAAAAAGCGTCGGCCCATCTTATGGGCGTTCGTCAGAGGTCGAATGAGACGCTAAGGGAGTTTATCCAACGCTTCA